GCCCGCTCCGCTCAGCGCACCGAGCCAGCGCCTTCTCCGCACCAGGTGGGAGCCCGGCCGCCCGGGTGGTTTAAAGTAGGCGGTGGGATGGCCACGGCTGGAACTTGGGGACGCAGGGGGTTGTCGGAGGGTCTCTGGGCTCGTGGGGCAGGGCTGCGAGGTGGGGCTGGACAGCAGGGAGACTGTTCTGGGCTCTGAGAACGAGTGGGCTTGTGGCGAGGGAAGAGTGTCAGGTCCTGCCCCTTTACTGTGAAGTTAGAGATGCCAAGCCCAGAGCTCGCGGTGCTTGGGAGGTCGGGAGGGGGCTGTGGTCACTGGTGTTCCCTGCCCTAGTGGACCCATGTGTGTCACAGACAGGAAACTGAGCCCTATCGGGCTCCTCAAGTCCCCTCCAGAGCATCAGTGTCCCCTCATCCATCTCCCTGGGGCAGGAAAGAGGGATGGAGACTGGGGTAACCTCTGCCCATACACACCAAGACTGACCATCCGGGCCTGTCCGGTGAGGAATGTCTGCCCTGTGGGCTTACCCCCGACTCCAGGGGTCCGCACAAGGACCTGGGCTGCAGGAACTGGTCCCCAGCTCCTTCCTAGCCCTCCAGCTGCTCCTGAAACTCTCAGGAAAGATTCAATTAACTCTGCCTCAGATGAGGTGAGTTTATCAGCGAGGCATCTAGCACTGCTGGCCATAAGGACCACGAGGTAGGGGGGAATACAAGCCTTGCCTTTGCTGATACAGAAGGATTTCAGGCACCAGAGCGGGGAGGTGGCACCCAGTTGTAGCCAGGCCACGTACCAACTGTATCTGACCCCTGGTGTCTAGGACCCCTAGGAGGGGGACGCGACAGCCCCAGGGCTAAGAGCCTAGCCTGTCTCTGACCCCAGTCCCTCAACCAAGACTAGAAACTGCCTCTGGTCACAGAGCATCCTCAGCCCCTCAGCTGCCAGAGGCCCACCATGAAGGACCATTTGCCACCCCCTGACCCAAGCCCAGCCAGGGGTCCTGGCTTCCAAGTGGACTCTTTCCCTCTCATGGGTGCCATTTCTTGGGCCTCAGTTTTTTTAATGGCACAGCTAGGGGGCACCTCACTCTGTGCACCCTGCTTCCTAAGATTGGTGGGATGGACAAACTAAAGTTCAGTGCTCTAAGCTCTGTCATGGCCCCTGTACAGAAGAGGGTGGGGGTGGTCATGGAGACCAAGGGGTTAAGCCAGGATCAGAACAGGGGGCGAGCTCTTGGCCACTCCTGCCCCTGGTCCTGGCTTTCTCTCTCCTGCCATGTCTGCCCTACAACTTTACAGACGGTGGTAGTGACAGTGATGATGACCATCACAGCCTCTGCTGGGCACAGTAGACTCTTTCTCAGCTGCCTTCTGTGGGTGCCATGAGTCAAAGTTCCCAGAGAACACCCAGTTTAGGGAAGGATTGGGCCCTTCGAAGCATGAACCACAGGAGAGGATGGCACTCCATACCAATGGCACCATCCCAGTGCCACCCAGGTCATGGGTGAGAGAGGCTTTTGTCTACCTTCTCTGAACCACGTGAGAAACATCGAGGGCCAGGTGTGTCAGTTCCGGGGGATACAGCAGCCAGCATCTCAGGACTACAGGCAGCTGTGGCCCTGGGGAAAGGCTGAGGCTGGCCAGTATCCCATTTCAGGGTTTAAGATCTTAAAGACAAAAGACCAAAAATGACTTGAATAGGGTCATGGGATAACGGCCTGGAGACAGAGCAAGGAACACTCATAACCATATAATTTGGGGTGAAAAACAAGTAGGGAAGTCTTCCTGGAGATCCTCCACCAAGGGACTCAGGGAAGAGGAAAAGGAGGGGCAGCGGTCCTGGAGCCTCAGCCAGGCCCACAACCACACCCAGCGCAGGGGTACACAGCCCTAGGTCTTCAGGCTCACAGTCCTCACAAGCCATGACATGGGTTCAGGGAAAGAGCCCCTTGCTGGGCCTCAGTTTCCCCATCTGTACAGTGGGGCCAGTAGAATGGCCACAGTTGCCCTCACAGTCATTCATTAAACAAGCATCTATTAGCCTACCATGGTTTTATGTGCAAATCGGGATTTACACCTGCCCTGATTGACTGTGAAGGAGAGATATCTTTAAGTGCTTATTGTGAAAGCTGGGGGGCGGCGGGATTGCTCCCCAAAGGATGTCTGAAGACTGGGCTGGAGAAAGAAGGGCGTTCCAAGGAGAAGGACCAAGAAGGAAAGTCTGGGGGTGTCTGGGGAGCAGCCAGTGGCCCACCTTGGCAGGATCACAGGCGGCAGGAGGGATGCCATGGCCAGTCAGAGAGAAGGGCAGGAGGGTTCCCACGGGGCCCTGAATGCCAGGCTGAGGGGCCCAGACTTGCTGCAGGTGGGAGGGAGTGGCAGGAACCTTCAAGGGCTTCAAGGTGAAGTGACAGGTGCAGGTCTGGGTCTGTCTGCAATGGGAGAGGCTGGCTGGAGGCTCGGAGGCCAGGTCTAAACAAGGGTGACAGGAAGCTGGGGTTCTGGGAGAGTCCTCACTGAGGAGTGAGAATAATGAGTAGGGCCCAAATCAGACCTCTCACCCACCCTGAGGGGCTGGTCAAGTGTGGCAGGTTCGGGGAAAGGAAACTGCCCAGCACACTGGCCTTCCAGAACCTCCAGAGCAGGGAGGGCAGAGGGATGAGGAGGAGAAGAGAGGATGAGGAATGTCAGGAATGTGGGGCCCGCTGACCCAGCTCCTTCCTGCTGGTGGGGGCAGGGAGCCTTGGGGCCTCCCACAAGTCAACCCACCTTGTCGCCTGGAGGGAGATGGACAGTGTATAAATGCTATTAAGGATTAAAGGAGATAAAGCACCAAAATGGTTGGCACTGAACCCAATCCTAAGTGTCTCACCCAAACAGCCACAGCAAAAATAGCTTACTCTGTGCTTGGCACCATTCCAGGGGCTTCTCGGGCAATAAGTCAATTAATCCCTCCAGCTGGGCACTCCTGTCCCATTCCCAGATGTGGAACCTCAGAGAGGTTGAGGAAGTTGCTTAAGATCACACAGTGCCCACGCTGTCTGCTTCTGTGATGAGCTGTGTGGCGGGAGTCCCAAACCTGTGGGAGCATGAATGCCAGGCCTAGGCAGTAACAGCTGAGCTGGGGTAGGCCAGAGAATCTCTGGCCTGTGGTCACAGTCTCTTCCCCAACACCCACTGCCTGCAGGAAAGCCCCACACACGTGCAGCCAAGATGTCCAGTAAACGGGCCAAGGCCAAGACCACCAAGAAGCGACCACAGCGGGCCACATCCAACGTCTTTGCGATGTTTGACCAGTCCCAGATCCAGGAGTTTAAGGAGGCCTTCAACATGATCGACCAGAACCGAGATGGCTTTATTGACAAGGAGGACTTGCATGACATGCTGGCATCAATGGGTGAGCAGGGGCAGGGGGCTGTAAGTGGGCCCAGCAAGGGCTGCTCATCCCTAAGGAACACTTCCTGTGCACTGACATGAGGTGCCCACCTGGAGAATAGCTGCCATCACTTTCAACATTTAGTAGATAGGGAAACTGTGGCACAGAGCAGTTGGGCACTGGACTTGGACCCAGATAAGCCCACTCCACGACAGAACTATCTCAGGCAGACTGTAGATTGTGCTGCCTGGTACCATTTCATTTAAAGAAAGGGATCAGTGACTAAAAGAAATTTTGAACTGCACAGACTTCCTATTGTACAGATGGGGAAACTGAGGCCTAGAGAGGGAGGCCAGAACACCTCCCCATTCCTTCAGAGGTTACCTGTGTCAGGCCCTGAGAGACTAACTCCAGTGACTTCCCCAGAATCAGCACCTTAGAGCTGAACAGACTCAGAAATCTAGTACATTTTATCATTGCTCAGATGGGGACACTGAGGCCCAGAGGCCAATCCTCCAGACACCAGCACCCACTTGTGGCTCTACTTCCACATCCCTCCCCATGTGCTGGCCACAGACAACCACCCTCAGCCCCAGCTCCTGGCACCCCTTCATCCGGTGAGAGCATCTGGGCCAGACAGTGGCTGGGGGAGGAGGGCTACCCTGAAAAATCCACACTCCATTAGTAGCTCATTTCAGTGGTCCACAGATCAGTCATAGCCTTCTGGTTAAGAACATTATCCTCAGGTTGAAAACAAGAGCAGCAAATAATAGATAAAATAACAGGAAGCAGCTCTGCAGATACTATCTCAAATCTAAAGCAATCCTATTAGGTAGATGTGATTATCCTTCCCACTTTATAAATGAGGAAACGGAGGCTCAGAGAGGTTAAGTAATCTGCCCAAGGTCACACAGCTATTGAGTGGTAAAGCTAGGATTTGAACCCCACAGTTGATTCACGTCCATGAGGCTGTGCCAATCATTATTATGTGCATTTTATAGCCATTGCCTTCTTCATCTTCACAATTCTAAAAGGCAGAGGAAATAAGCATAGAGCTGGGATTCAAACCCTAGCCTGTGTGACACCAAAGCTCACCAGTTTAACTACTTTTGAAACCGTGCCTGGGATCTGGCTGCCTAGGTTCAGATGCTGGCTCCACTGCTGACTTGCTATGTGACCTAGGACTAGTCACCCCATCTCTGTGCCTCAGATCTCACAGGAGGATAAGAGCACTGACCTCACAGGTGGTGAAGTTAATGCGATAAGGCACATGGAGCACCAGACACAGAGAGCAGTCAGCAGGTGTGGGCTCTCACACTTCAGAGAGCATTATGGATGGTGGATACCCAGACCAGAGGAGGAAACTGGTCAAGGCAGCCAGGAGAGCAGGGTTGGGGAGGAAGCCATCAGAAAGCCGGCCGTCCCAGAAAGATGCTTTACAGTTTAGAAAACTTACTGTGGGGGCGTGAAGGAAGGGGACAGGGAGGGGATGGGAGGTGACAGCAGGCACGAACGCCCCCCCAACCACAGGGAAGAACCCCACGGACGAGTACCTGGAGGGCATGATGAGTGAGGCCCCGGGGCCCATCAACTTCACCATGTTCCTCACCATGTTCGGGGAGAAGCTGAATGGCACGGACCCCGAGGACGTGATCCGCAACGCCTTTGCCTGCTTCGACGAGGAGGCCTCAGGTCAGCAGCCTCTGGATGGAGGCCTGGACAGAGCTGGGGCTGAGCACCTCCCCCAGGCCCGCCTCCAGCGGCATATGCAAGTGGGACTGGGCATGCTGGGACTTCAGGGCCCCTTGCCGTCAAAGGCCAGGACAGAAATCATCTGTCTGCTGGTTTCTGTCACTAGAACTATAAAAGCCATGCTGCTTTCCTGGTTTCTCTCCCAAATGCTAAACTAAAACAGCCCACATCCACCAAGCCTTTCCACTTAGTTCACCTGTTGGCCCAACACACTTGGCCTCTGCTTTTGACCTTTCCAGAAACCAAACCATTTCAGGCCCTTCTGGCCAACAAGGTACAGAAGTCAACCCCCATCTTCAGATCTTCCAAAGGGCTTTCTATCCCACAGCTCGTTTTTCCCAGGAACGGGCCAGAGTGACGCCAGCAGTAGTCATTTCAGTAGTTTCTCAAGGGCAACAGGTGCACCACAGACCTGAGCATATTCAGTTCATTTTCCTGACTTCCTTAACAGTCCCCTACCAGGTTGGCATATTTTCATCCCCATTTTCCAGATCAAAGAGAGGTTAAGTAACTTGCCCAAGGTCACATAGCTAGAAAGAAGGGGGATAAGCACTCAAACTCAGGCAGTAGAACTCCGGGGCTCACACTCTTAAAGCAAGACACAGTCGGCACCTCTGCCCCCGACAGCCCCAGGTCCCCCTCAGGAACACGCCGCAGACAGTCCCACTGTAGAACTCTTCCCTCTGGAGCCCCCAGCGAACTCAAACTGAACAAAGACCAGGGCTGTGGTTTTTCCTGGCCCCTCCCCTACAAGGACTGGTGGGGGGCCTAGGGGTAGGGGGTGTTAGGTGTGTCCCATCCCAAGTGCCTGTCTCATGGCCCTGGCCCTGCCCCCAGGTTTCATCCACGAGGACCACCTTCGGGAGCTGCTGACCACCATGGGTGACCGCTTCACAGACGAGGAGGTGGACGAGATGTACCGCGAAGCACCCATTGATAAGAAAGGCAACTTCAACTACGTGGAGTTCACCCGCATTCTCAAACATGGTGCCAAGGACAAAGACGACTAGGCCACCCCAGTCCCCCATGCCAGGCCCCTGTCCCAGTCACGTGCTGCCCCGTACACTGTCTGCACCGGCTCTATGCCCATGAGCCCACAGGACCCTCTCAGGGGCTCCTCCCTCTTAGGGGTTAGGAGCCCAGCTCACAGGGGAGGAAACAGGCCGAGAGCACACAGTGCCAGGCAAGGGGCACATCGCCAGTGCAAGGCAGGTGTTCCCACCATGAACCTCCAAGGAAACACCATCTTCTTGGGAGCTAGGCCAGAGGGCTGGACCTGGAGGCACCAACAGACAGCCCCTCAAGAAAGCCCAGGCCTCAGGTGTTGCCTGCCCACTCCCAGGCTGCTCCCCACAGGAAGGGCCCTGCATCCTGGTCTGGGAAGCCATGTCATGTGCACCCCCATGCAGGGCATGAAAGCCCTTCCCCAGCCACTGTCACAAACACACCAACCTCACTAAGGTCCCTTCTCAGAGGACAGGATGCCAGACCCCTCCCCTGCACCCTGCCCAGCCACCAGGACACCACCCCTCACAGCATGCTCCAGAAGATGCATGTAGAGTGGACATTTGTCCCCAAGAGGCAGAATCTCTAATAGAAGGCTGAGCACTGCTTCAGGTCTGTGTGTCTGTGGTTGGGGTGAAATAAAGGAGCCTGTAGGCCCCAAACACTGTCTCACTCTCTCCTCCCATACACAGTGGCTGCCCCCATCCTACCCCCTGGGCCAGGGAAGGCTCAGCTGAAACCAGATCAACAGTGGGCAGCAGACCAACATGCTGAGGGGAAAAGCTCTCCTGAGAGAGAGAGGACAGAGTGGGGAAGACCCTCAGGAATCACCATAGCAAATGCCAGTTGGGGGCGCTGAGCCTCTGAGTGAATGACAGGGACACTGACATCAGTGCCTGGGGCATAAGAGGAGTGAAAATACTGGATGAATGCACAGAGAGTCAATAGGGACAGGGACCGCCTGAGGTCACCCAGTGGGTCTGGGGCGAAGGGAAAGCTGGACCCTGGCCTCTGGACCTTCCATGGAGCTCAGGCCAGGGCTGGACACATCCCATCTGACCCCCAGCAGGGAGCAGATGCTGGGCCAGCTTGGTCCTGCTGCCTTCCCTAAGGGTCACCCAGAGCCAGCCAGCCACAGCACATGGCAAAGGTCCAAGATACAAGCCAAGGGAGTGCTGAGCATTAAGGGACACTGCAGTGATCCGGGAGGCCCTAACCTTCCACAGGTCTCTGCCCCTACTAGCTAAGCCCTGGTCAAAGCCCCATGAAATCCCTCCTCTTGCCCCCAGATTGAGCCCAACAAGTCCTTGATTTCAGATGGAGCCAGCCCAAACAAGTTCCAGCTAGGTCCAAATACTTCCCAGACTCAGTCCTGACCACACCACACCCTGACCCTGGCCCCAGGAGAAAGTGCAAAGGGAGGCATAAATCAGGCCAGGTTCCCTCCGGCAGAGGAAACCACTGAGGTCACAGCTAAAGGGCCTCTAGGTCCCAACAGGAGAAAGAGCCTGAGCTGTGACTCCCTTCACCATCAACCCAGAGACTCCAAGGAAGCCAGAGAGAGATTAAGGGAACTGTCAACATCACCAAAAAACAAAGAATCCTCTGAAGCCATGGTTGGGCCCCCATGGATGAGGTGGGGATGTGTAAAGAGAAGGAGGGAGAAACAGCGGCCCAAAGTAGAACAGTGGTTCCAGGAAGGGTGGAAGTCCCTGGGCTGTGATTTTTTTGCTCCCACCATTTATCTGGAGCATCAGGGTAACCTTGGGACAAAGGTTGGAGACCATCCAGGCCCCTAGGCATTCCTCCTATACCCATGAAGGAGACAGCAATTGAGAAAGAACTGTGCCAGGGTGGAGCTAAGATTAACAAAGAGACCAAGAATTTACCCAACAACTGTTAACAACTATATGCCAACAATTTTGAAATGTTAACAAATGAACAAATTCCTAGAGTAATAGAGCCTTAGAAGCAGCTCAGAAAGTAATAAGATACAATAAAACATTTTAAAATAGGGGGAAAAAAGCAAAAAAAAAGTTTGAGTTTTCTTAAGTATTGGCAAAATTGAAGCAGTGGTTAAAAATCTTCCCACAAAGACAATACTGGGCCCAGACAGCTTCACAGGCATGATCCACCAAACTTTCAAGGAACAGGTCATCCTGATTTTACACAGACTGTTCTAGCATAACTATGATACCAAAAGCAGACAAAAACATTATCAGAAAAGAAAATAACAAGCCAGTTTCATTCATGAATATAAATGCAGGGGGGAGGATACAGCTCAAGTGGTAGGGTGCATGCTTAGCATGCATGAGGTCCTGGGTTCAATCCCCACTACCTCCTCTAAAATGAATAAACCTAATTACCCCTCCCCTGCCAAAATAAAATAACCAAATATAAATAAAGTAAAAAAATATATATACATGCAAAACTCTCATATAAAATATTAGCAAACCAAATCTAACAATGTGTTTTTAAAAAGATAATAACTAATGACCTAGTTGAATTTATTCCAGGTATTCAAGGATGGTTTAATATTAGAAAAGTCATAAATGTAATTCATCACATTAACAGATTAGAGGAAAATAAAAACACATATGATTATATTAATAGATGCAAAAAAAGCAATTTTAAATAATTTTTTAAAAAACAACTCCTATTCATGATAAAAAAAAATCTTAGTAAATTAGAATATAGAGAAATATCCTTAACCAGATTAAGAATATCTAAAGAAAAAACCTGGACCAAATAGCATCCTAAAGAGACAAAAGTTACATACAGGCATACCCTTTATAATCAGGAATTTACATGCAGGCATACCCTTTATAATCAGGAATGAGACAAGAGTGCCCACTATCACCACATTAATTCAACATTATCCTGCAAGTCCCAGACAACAAAAAGAGATGAGGGAAAAATTGAGAAGCCTAAGAATTGGAAAGGAAGACATAAAACTGCCATTATTTGCAGATATGACTGTTTATAAAGAATCTAGGAATAATTAGAAATAATATTTAGTCAGGTGTGTGGGTATAAGATATTCCTATGTACCAGCAGCAAACAGCATAAATAAATAAATAAATAAATAAATAAATAAATAAATAAATAAATAATTTTTAAAATGTAATTTAAAAGGGAAAAAAAACCCTCACTGAAAACAGTATAAGAAAATATCAAGCATCTAGGAATAAACTGAACAAAAGTTGTGTAAAAACCTGTTCAAGACCTAAAGTTAAAGAATAAAGCTTGGTTAAGTAACACTAAGGAAGACCTAAATAAGTGGGAAAATAAAGCATATCCATAGAAAGCAAAGATATCAATTTCCTCAGAACAGATATGCATATTCAGTGCAATGATATTCAAAAATTCCAAGAACGTTTTTCATGAAACTGTCAAGATGATTCTAAAATGTATATGGAAGAGTAAAGGCATGAGTTGCCAGACACCTGTGACAAAGAAGAGGGAAGGAAGTTGTGCTTTCCAGATTTCAGGGCTTAATATGAAGCTGTAGTAGACATGATAGTGTGATACTATCATGGAAGGACAGACAAATTGATTCAAGGAATGGAATAGAGACTCCAGGAACAGACCCACACATTTGTGGAACTTGTTATCTGACAAAGGAACGTGTAGATCAGTGGAGAAAGAGGGGACTCAACAAATGGAGTTGACACCTGCCAAAGGGGATACAAAGAAAAAGCTCTCAATTCCAAGTACTGAAGAGGGTAAGAATGGGGAGCAACTAAAATTCTCACACACTACAGCTGGACATGTACAGGTATAATCACTTTGGAAAACTGGCAGTATCTACTAAAACTGAACATATATCTACCCCATGACTCAGCAATTCTACTCCTAGGTGTGTTCACATCCAACAGAAATGTGGGTACTTGTTCACCAAAAGACAGACTCAAGCATGCTCACAGCAGCACTACTATTAATAGCCCCACACTAGAAGCAACCCAATCTGTCCACCAACAGAATGGACAAAGAATGACAGTGAATTACAGCCACATACATCAACATGGATAAATCTCACAAACATGAAGTCAAGCCCCCCCCCAAAAAAAAACCCAAAATACAGACACAAAGAGGCACACATCTGTATCAGTCAAGATTTGATTAAGCGACAGAAATCACACTAATTATTTTGACAGATTATTTAATATAAATAATTGTTAACTAGGTATTAAGTTTTAATTAAGTAACTGAAAGGTTAAAAAGAGAACTCAAGAAATTTGAAAACATGGGTGGAATTTTCTTCTGAAGAAGTACAAGAAACAACAGAAAATTTGAATAGAGTGATTCACATCAAGAAAATGAAAGTAAAACAGAGAAAATACCTGCAAATCATATGTCTGATAAGAGATTTGTATATAAAGAGTTCTCACAACTTAATAATATAAATAACCCAATTTAAAAATGGGCAACATATGTGAAAAGACATTTCTCCAAAGAACGTATGCAGTCAATAAACAAAGATGCTCAACATCATTAAAGAAATGGACTACAGTAGCAGTAGTAGTAGTACTAATAATCATAATCATAATAAAAAAAAAAAAACAAGTGTCGGGGAGGATGTGGAGAAATTAAAACCTTCATACATTCCTGTAGGAAATGTAAAATAGTGCAGCTGCTTTAGAAAACAGGCTGGTGGGTCCTCAAAAGGATAAACACAGAGTTACCAGATGGCCCAGCAATTCTACTCCTAGGTATATACCCAAGAAACTGAAAACATACATCCACACAAAAAACCTGAAAGCAAATGTTCATAGCAGCATTATTCCAAATAGTTATAAAAACAGAAACAGCCCAGATGTCCATCGAGAGATGAATGGATAAATAAATGCGGTATATCCATGCACTGGAATATTATTCAGCAACAAAAAACGAAGTACTGATTCATGCTACAACATGGATACACCTCAAAAGCAGTATGCTAAGTGAAACAAGTTCATGACTCCATTTGTATGAAATGTCCAAAGTAGGCAAATCTACAGAGAATAATTAGTGTGGCCTAAGGCTGGGGTAGGGAGGGTGCAGAAGGGGGAGTGAAATTAGATTACGTTGACGGTTGCACAACTCTTTAAATCTCCTAAAATTAATTGAACTGTATACTTTAAATGGGTGAATTTTATAATACGTAATTTATATAGCAATAAAGCTGTTAAAGCAAATAGTAAATAGTCAATAAGAAAAAAAAACCCTAAGCTAACATTTTCGTAAGGCTTGGTTTTTTTTTCTCTTCAAAGGTTACCACATTTAAACAGTTAACTTTCATTTCTTTATTTTCTTGAAATTGTTATTTCCTTATATTTATGTAAACCCCATTAGCTCTGATAAACCAATAAAAACAAACCTTAAATTTAAGAGATATCATTTATAACTTACTAATTAACATACTATGGAGGTAGGAGAATGTTTCAGACTCATATAGAAACACCTAAAACTTTCAGCTTCAGTTCACCAACCTCAGCCATGTGCCAAAATAAACTAAAAAACACAAAAACCGACTGGCCCGTATCTCAAAGGGCTGTCTCCTTTCAACACTTTCTATTTCTCTCAATATTTTCTTAATTGATTTGCGCTCACAAAGATAAGAAAACTATCAAGATAAAAAAAAAAGACTAACAAATAAGATTCTCCCTCATTTCCCACTAGA